GGCCCCTTTCTGCCCCTTCCCAGGGAAGGCAGCTCCTTCTTTGGCGGGATCAGACGGCACCGGCTCGCGCCCAGCTTGGGTTCCCCCGGATTGCAGGCTGGTGGTCTCTGGACCCCCGCCTGGCTCATACATCCAACAACGTTATAGAACTAGGTGTGCAAAACTTCATCTTTACTCTTCAACTCTTTACAACTTGCATAAAAGCGTCATTTCTACCTCAGTTGGCGGAAGTCATAATTAATGTACCACCCATGTGCTGGGCACAGTGAATTTTAATGCCTCCCCTTTGGAGGAAAGGTTAGGATAACTTGCGAAGACCCCCCCACCACAAAGGCTGTCTGGCACTTCGGTGCAAAACGGATTGGTCCAATCTTGTGCTGGCTTGGGGTTCAGAAAGGCACTGAAGTTGGTGGCTGAAACTCCTCTGGGCTGGGCTGGGGCAGAGGTGAACAGGGAAGTAAGTGGTTTGGGATAGGCAGGGATGGATGTGGGCTTGGGTTCTTGCTGACAGAGGTAGTTGTTCCTGCGTGGAGGCTGGGGTGGCAAGGGCAGCTTGAGCCTCAGGCTGAGTGGATGCTGCTGTGCTGGCCCCCGTCTGCCCAGCTCACCAGCTCGCTGCTCTGGAACCACAGCTGGATCTCCCGCTGGGCCCCCTCCACGGAGTCGCTGGCATGGATGACGTTCCTGTGCCAGTGACAGGAGCAAGGTGAGGCTCAGGCTTCATGTGCACCCTGAGGAGTCCCAGGGACCATCTGTTGCTCCCCTGTTGCCCTCTGTCTAGGGGAGCAAGCCTGTGACTGCAGACAGGGAAGGAGTAACAGTGGAGCTGGGAAACCGGGTTCCAGCCTGGCCTCAGCCTGTTACAGCCTCGTGGACCCGCCCAGACCCCAGCTTTTGGGAGCCTCATTTCCCCCCAAGTTGCCCCGTGCCAACCCCTTGGGGTGTCAGGCAATGATGGCACGGTACATACAACACGAAGGGAACGCCTCATTGCCCTGTGTGTGCAGGAGGGTCTGGGAGAACACCGCTCTCACCAATGTGAGCTGTCATGTTCCACCTGGCTTCAACCCAGCACAGCAAGACACCCAGGTCTTGTGGATCTGCCACCACCCCAAGTGCTGGCCCTCCTCGTCCCCAGCAGCAGCCCGGTGTGTCAGGACCCCCGTACCTGCTGATGTGCACGCTGAAGTCACCCCTTATGGTTCCTGGGGCAGCCTCAGCCGAATCAGTGTGTCCAATCATGGCCCTGGAGGCGCGGACGACATTGTACCCTTCCCAGACCTGCAGCGCGAGATAATGGTTGGGAAGAAGTGGGGAACACCAAGGGCCCTGCGCTCAATCCAGGGCCCCTCCCTTTGCTGGGGGGAAGACACACCCCCAGGCCCTCCCACCACCCCTACCCTGCCGTACCATGGCCACCATGGGCCCAGAGCTCATGTAGCGGATGAGTGCAGGGTAGAAGGGCTTCCTCCGCAGGTCCTGGTAGTGCTCGGCAAGGACGCTCTCTGGTGCCTGGGTGGCATTGAGGGAAGGAGGAGGAGCCACAGAGAGTAAACCTGGGCACTAGCGCAGCAGCTGTGATGCCCCGACCTCAGGCACCTTGCAGATAACACCAGCATGGGCAGCACCCCCACTGCAGAACAGATCCCTCCTGCCCCTTCAACTGCCAAAGCCGGGCCCTACCCTGACACTGGCTGGGATGTGAAAAGGCTGAGAAGGATCCCCCAACCCTGAGAAGGATCCCACGGGGACACCCACAAGCCCAGAGCCCCACTACCTGCAGCATCTTCATCCCCACCAGCGTGAAGCCCCGCCTCTCAAAGCGCTGGATGACGTCCCCAACGAGCCGCCGTTGCACCCCATCTGGCTTCACCGCCACCAGGGTCCGTTCCCGGGTCCAGGAGGGCCCTCCTTTAAAAGGCAAGGGGTCGGGGCACTGACACCTCACCCTTTCACATCCCCACGACCCGGGTTTCCCTGCCAGAGCCCAGGGGTCACCAGGCTTCAGGGTGTCTGCCACTATGCAGAGCACTCTGGAATGGACAAGGATGGTGCCCATAGCCAGAAATGCTCCCATGATAGTCCCTGTCAGGGACACCCAAAACAATGTGTCCCCAGGGCTTCTAGCCTCTCCCAGGGGCCATGGCTTCTCCCAGCAGAGGCAGAGGCTGCCTGAGATGGCGCGGTCGCCCAGAGGTTCAGGGAGACACTGTCCAGCTCAGGGATCACCACCCCAAGGTCCCCGGAGGCACAGCCCAGCTCGGGGACCACCCCGAGGTCCCCGGAGGCACAGCCCAGCTCGGGGACCACCCCGAGGTCC